TAGCTTTATCTCTAAGCTTTCCAAGCATATATTACACGCCACTAGGAAAAATCGGAAAGGTCTTCAAATCTTCAATCTTCAACAGCAGTGCAGTTCTGACGGGATTTCAACTTAGGCTGTCTTGACTTGCAAGTCTGGAGCATTTGGCTTGGCAGAAAATTATGAAACTTTGATACAATGATCTTCAATGTCTTAGCTTTCTTCTCCAATTGGCCTTGCGCTAAAATTCATTCGAAAAGTCAATTTTCAGTTGAAATCCTTCCAAGAGAGCAGAATCGCTGAAAATAAGGAAAGTAAGGTAATAATGCTCTTTTTAATTAACTTTCCCTACAAAAACCAAATAAAAGAGGTATAAAAATATAGGAAATAATACACTTATCAAGTAGTAAACGTGCCTCATGCCATTAAGAAAATTGGGGCTGAACTCTCAATTCGAAGAAAAGATTAGAGTTAAACCATTGCACTCAAGGCTTAACAATCTTGGGGAAATTTTAGGTATCAAATTGAGATGGGCAGCATTGAGGTTAGGGTTTTGACACTATTTTGAGGTGATATCGAGGATTTGTGGAACTTACGACTGTAAGTGTAAGAAAGCGTATTGACGTTCAAGGACAGACTTATGCCTAGGTTGGCTCCAGCTTAGGGGAAGATTTATAAAATATTAAATATAATTTAAATTTTATAAGCTTATTCCTACTTCAATAAATATTAGCCCATTGCACCAAATAAATATAGCCCAAATATGCATTGCTTTTCTTTTTTTATCGCTAATATAATAAACTAATAATAGCCAAATCTAAGTAAAGTAAATAATAACTCAGTCCTCTATTTAAAATAAGCCCACTCCTCCTAAAGCATATAGGAAATAATAAGAACTCACACTAAGGGTCTACCAACTTGAGCTATATTCTAATCATACTGATATTGGGCTACACCCACAGAGAGTAAACATCAAAAAATTTCTTCTAGCCACCCAAAACGCCATATTTGAACCTTGAGAGCCTAGGGGGAATAGCTCTACTCCTCTAAAAAATTGTACCAACCTATCTTCGGTGGGTTCTTCAATCTTGGTAAGTTTTTATCTTTTTATATATATTCAATTTCCAATTTTCATTGTTGTTATTAAGTTTTTATGATTTAGGGTTTGGGTGAAAACTTTTGGAGATTGTTGATATATGTTTTATTTTTGCAACTTGAATTATTAATTAGCATATATGATTTTTGGTGTCTAGTATTTCTTGTTAGGATATCATGTCACATGATAATAGACCGGCAAAGAGAGGAAAAACTATTTATTCATTCTTCAAAAAAAGTGGATTTTATTTATATTTTGTACTTCTTTGTATTATATTTGCTTGTTATGTGACTTTGTTTGATTTATAAAATTTTATTTACGTTTTTGTTTCAGGAGACAAAAAGCTTATAATATATCTCCTCTTAAAAAAAAAATTTATTTAGTCTATCCTTATAAAAATTCTGGAGTCCGCATTGTTGACGTTGATAGAGGGCCAAAGGATCTTTTGGTGAAGTTTTTGCTTCCCACTAAGGTTGTTTAACAACCAGTGGCGGATCCACATTGGGGCAAAGGGGGTCAATTGACCCCTGCAAACTAGAAACCATGGCTTGGGGAGAAGAAATGTGACCCCTGCAATTACTGCTTCTTTTTCTTTAAAACGGTATGACTTACTTGCTTGATTTGCAGGCGGCTACCTCGTTGCAGAGGCGCTCTATTAGCGCGAGGAAGAAGATGAGGATTTCTGACTTTTTTTTGTCTTCTCAAAACATACTGAACGACGTCGTTTTCTGATCCATAAAAAAGAAGCAAAAATGATGTCATTGTCACGTGGGTAAAGCCACTAAGTTTAGGTGAAACTCGTTTGGTCTTTAAGGTTTTTGGTCAAACACGTTTGGTTTTGATTTGTAATTAAAAACAAATAGCAACTTAATGAGCTAAGGCCTGGTTTCATGATAATGGTTAATGGGTAAATTATTTAAAAAGTTTCTCCTATGGGCCAATA